ATATTACAAAATAGTCATTTTCTTCCAAATGCACACCTTTCTACATGTCATTTCAATCACAACTCTACAAGTAACAAAATAAACAAATTTTCAAGCAAAATGAGATAGGGTAGAGTCTCCCCTTACCTCAAATTGAAGACCCACGCACAAGTCAACGATGAAAAAGACTTCCCACATGAACTTCATCTTAATTACTGATGAATGCATATTTTACTAGGTTTTTATATAGTTTTCTAGGTTATTTTTAATAGAAAATGTAATTTGGAAAGTGAAAATTGCACACAAATATATAAATATTCAATAAAGTAAATTGTTGTCTTTAGTAATTCAAATCATGTAAATTTGATAGAATTCTGATGTAATTTTGTTAGTTTTGCAAGAAACTCTAAGCTGAGATCATAAGGTTGGAGGATCAAGAGAGAAAGCAGAAGAAAGTAGCAAAATTGGAATCAAGGAACAAGGTTTGGTGAAGCAAGAGCTGGGCGTGATCACTTTTCCTAATATACCTGAGCGTTATCACTTTTTTCTCACAAGAGTGACGACACTCATGAAGAAGAGATCCTGCGTTATCACTATTGCTGATGATAGTGATCATTCCAGAGAAGCCTGTATCAAAGCAAGCTGCGCGTGACTCCTATTGTTCACGAAAGTGAACATGCGCAGACCACGAACCTCTGTGTTGCTACTTTTATAAAAAAATAATGATCATGCTAGAAAGGCAGGAAATTCTATAAATAAGAGATTAGCTCCGAAACTTGTATCTTTTCTCATTTTTTCATTTCCACACCTTAGGGGAGTTAGAGAAGGAGATTGTAGGCGACTTCCAAGCTCTAGACCTTGAGGAATCAGGCTGGGGATTGGATTTATGAAGAAATTTTGCAGCTTCTCTTCTTCTACTCTTTCTCTTTCTTTTTCTTTTAGGAACATGTTCTGATTTCTTTTTCTTATAGATTGATGGATTCGATTTTGATATTGTAAATTGATTGTGGATCTGAATTTTAAGATCTTGATTGTATTAAATGTTTAATTCTTTTCTTAATGCAATTCTTGAATTAGCTATTCAATTGAATTGAACCTAGAGGATTTTTATCAATGGAAGTTGGGTTAATTTCTCAGATCTGAATTGAATGTCAAGGTTATGAATATCTTAAAGATAAGAATTTGTGATCTTGTGATCTCTTAATTTCTCATACTTAATACAATGTTTGATTGATTTACATCTAAGGAATTAGGTTAGTTAATTGAATATTAAGATCATTGAAGCAAGGGATTGTCCTTTGATTTAATAAGTGAAATTGATCATCAATCAATTAAGGAACTTAGAGTTCAGATCTACTTCAATTTTGCAATTGATAAAGAGGTGAAATCAATCCTAACTCCATTCATATATTATTTCATTTCTAAATTCGTCACTCTATTTTGCTGTTATTTTCTGATTTCTACAGTTATTGCTTTTGTTCTTAAATAATTCAAAACACTCCAAATTTTGTTTAGCTTAACTAGTTATTGATTGGTGAAGTGGTAATTGATAAAACTAAACCCTGAGGATTATACTTGGGACTCAAACTGAATTCCAAATTTTATTACTTGCTACAACTACTTAGTATACTTGCTAGTTAGTGTTTTCTAAACTTTGTGACAATTACATAGAGAAATCCCATGAGAACTAAGGAAAATTGAGAAAACAGATAATAGGGCTGAGAAATCGAAACCCTAGCCATTAAAACTTACCTCCAAGCATTCCCAACACGATTTCAACCTTCAATCTAGCTCCCAAACGACTTTGGAGGCAATTTAATCGGTAAAATAAGGTTTTAGGTCTAGAGAATCAAAGAGATTTTAAAGAGAGAAAAGGGAAAATGAGTTTCCCAAACCCTAAACCCCTTAAATCCCTTTCTGATCGTGACACTCTCACTATAGTGAGATATTCTCACTGTAGTGAAAATCTCAGAGGAAACTGCACTCTGGTTTTTGCAGAATCTTGCTTCAACAAGACCCTCTCGTTACAGCAAGATTGCACCTAAAAATGCACCCTAAAATGTCGCCTTCTTATTATAGCGAGGGAACTCTCGCTACAGCGAGAACGCAACAATTTTACCATTTTTCTTTCAGTGCCTTCTCGCTACAGCTAGAAGGGCACAATTTCATGCCTTTTGCCCAAGGCCTTCTTGCTATAGCAAGAACACCCTACACCATACACTTAGCCTATTTTCCTCAGTCCAATTCCAGCCACAAACCAACATATACATATTTCCACACCACCATCAAGTAAATCAACACACCAACATATCGCAATCCACACACACACACACACACACACATATATATATATATATATATATATATATATCAATAATTAAATAATATTACAAAATTTGGCGTGTTACAGACATCAATTTTATCTAGGTTTGAGTCTTCATTAATTGCCTTTTAACACTTAGTTGGAGAATTAGTACAATTGAGCAATAAGTTACCTGACAAAGTTGATTTTCTTAGAGCTTTTAGGTGGCTTGACCTCTTCATACTCAAGGTTAGGCGCTTAAGCTATGTTGACTGATGGAATAGGTCTTGGTAGAGCCTATTTATTCCACCATTATTATTAGTTCACAACTTAGTTTGAGGGTGTTTTATTCAATGTCACTTATGTTTGTGTCGAGAATGCTCTAGTCAAGGTCATTTATGGTATTGTTAGGGCAACCCTGTTATGATTGGAGTAACTGATATAATGCTAAATCAATTTTTGGCAAAGTCACTTATGTTTGTGTTAGTGCTCTAATTGAGATTACTTATAATGCTACCACGACAACCCTATTATGACTAGAATCAGTGACACAGATCAAAATGATAGTTTAACCCTCTAAATTTTTTTTAAAGGGTTTTGTTAGGGCTAAGTTTAAGCATTCTGTTAAGGTAATTTTTATGTGTGGTAAGCAGACTAAGTCTATTATAGTAAAGATGAAATAAGGATTGTCAAACCACAATGAATTATAAGATAATAGTAGGTTCTAATATCCTATTTAAAGCTTAGAAAAATAACTATATACATTATATATACACATTTTGATATTCATAGATTTAAAACATAAATTGAGTAAAATTTAACAATATAAATAAAATTAAGAAACAAGAGAGAGGTTGTTGAGATTAAATTTCATCCATTTAGCTCAATTAATTCCTGATGTCATATAATTATGATTCTATTAATCAATGTTATTGAGTTCTCTTAAGCTACTCTAAATCAATCCCTTGCATTTAGAGTTACTAAGGATTATAATCCAACAACGATTTCTCAGTTTATCAAATCATGATCCTTACATTAAGTTCGAGAACTAACCAACTAATAATTCCAAATCTATTCCTAGCATTTACAGCTATTAGGTGATATGATTCAGACGGACTTAAAAAAAATTTTCCAATTGAAATCAAAGTCGAAAATAAAAAAATGAGTGATCAGTTCATCTAAAGCATTAAGAGCATAATCACAATCACTAACACTGAATAATAGGTATCATAAATATAATAAAAAAAGGAATACAAGAGAGTTTGATGGATTACATTTAATCTCAATAGAAAAGTAGTTTAGCTACTCATGGTGATAAGTGTCAATCCCAAAATACAAAAGAGAATGGAGTAGAAGAGATAAAATGAAGAATCTCCCTCTTTTCCAGTTGAACGTCCAGATTCGCGACCTCTGTTTTTGTATTTTTGTTTTCCGTTGCTTCTGTTTTGTCTTTATTCGTGACACTTAACACATTCACAAATAAAAAAAATTTATGAAAAAAGTACACAATTATTTTATTGAAGTTATAAAAATATAATAAATACTTTTTTTTTCTAATAAAATTTTACTATTATTAACTACTTATCCTCAGCTCTAAGGGCTTAAATTAACAAAATCCTTTTTAAAAATATACTTTGACTTATCACCTATTTAAAATGAATTACTTGTAATAATTTCATTTTGAACTCAAATTTTTTAATTACATTTTGATTCTATTTGTTTAACAAATATACTTAAGCTTTTGCAACTTTATATAGGGTGATTGTTTGATGATGCAAACTTGTACAAAGATTTGGCTGATGTCATTTATGTTTGTGTTGAGAGTGCCTTAGTCGAAGTTATTTATATTATTGTTAGGACAACTCTACTAATTTTTGATTGAAGTCACTTATATTTATATCGAGATTGCTCTAATTGAGATCATTTATGATGTTATTAAGACAACTTTATTAGGATTGTAATTAATGACGCCAAATCCAAAATTATAATTTAACTTAGTATTTTTTTAAAATTATACTTTGACTTCTAAACTATTTAAAAATAAATTAGTTATAATAATTTCACTTTGAACTCAAATTTTTTAATTACATTTTAATTATATTTATTTAACAAATATACTTCAACTCTTACAACTTTTTAAAATTACACTCTTGCTAATCTTAAACCTATAAACTTTATAAATTTATATTTTAACTTTTAAATATTTTTAATTTTCATTAACTCTTATATGTTTTATAATTACATTTTTACACTCCAAAATTTTTTGGTAGCCTAAATTATAATTGTCATTGAGTCTTTAAGCTTTTTAAAATTACACTTTAATTGTTAATCTTTTGATGATTATACTTTTCAAATTTACATATTTTTCATGAAATTCAATTCTAATAAATATGACTTTATTTCATGATTTATTTTATTTGATTATGTGTTGAAGTATTATCTTATAAATAAATACTTAATAATTAACTAATATAAATATATAATATTTTTTTATATATTTTAATAAAATAAATAAAAAATATTGACATCAATTCTTAAGATTAAAAAAAAAATAAAAATAATAATTATTTATTAAAAATATTATTTATTTTAAAAATATAAAAATGTAATAAATATTATATTTTTAATAAAAAACTATTTTTTTTTTTTTTTAATGAAATGTTGATAGTTTAACCCCCAAATATAAAATAAAACGACGACAGCGACAGAATCAAAATTTCCATTCGTTATTCTTCTGTTTTTCTCGTGTTTCAGTGGCGAGCTGTAACCATGGGAGTACCAGCGTTTTACCGGTGGCTCGCGGACCGGTACCCACTCTCGATCGCCGACGTAGTTGAGGAAGAGCCCTGCGTCGGCGACGACGGTGTTCCGTTGCCTATTGATGTGTCTAAACCAAATCCCAATGGCATGGAGTTCGACAACTTGTACTTGGACATGAATGGTATCATTCACTCTTGTTTTCACCCCGATGGCAAGGTTCGTTATCTTCTCCGCTTCAACTCTATTCCACTTGCTAAGGAACTTAGATGTTCCCCTTAATACGTGGAATGTACCCAAATTTCCATTTCAGCTTAGCATTTGAAGTTTTGCTACGAATTTTTTCCATTCAACTTGATTTAGTAAAATTTTCCTTACTCCAGTTGTTTAGTTTTTGTTTCTGAGTTGCAAAGTAATTTTGTTAAGCTTACGTTTTTATGATTCAAAAATATTTAAATGCAGCCAGCACCTGCTACCTATGGCGATGTGTTCAAATCAATATTTGATTACATTGACCATCTCTATTCGTTGGTTCGTCCAAGGAAGCTTCTCTACCTTGCAATTGGTATGAGTATAAATTTATGATGCCTTTTCTCATCTTCGCGGCTGTGTAACATATTAACATTGCTCATTGCAGAGGTGTCTGATCTCTGATGATAAAACCCTAGGGTTTTTAGAGCTTTGTGTCAAAACATAGAAGTTACACTAAAGGAGTGCTCCCTTGACTTAAATATCATATATTCAATGAATTTATAAAATTCAATATCTCGCAATAATCCAAAGCATCTGAAATGTTTACACAAAGTTTATCCATATCTATAGACCTTAATAAGTCAAACTGCCATAACATCCCGATAAGCAGGGTAGTTAGTATTGTATGAAACGAATAAGTAGGGGGTAGCCCTGGATCAAAGCAGGGTGCAAAGTGTTCAGCAATGGCGTGTTCCAAAAAATATTAAGGGTGTGAGGGGATTCTTAGGCCCCACGGGGTACTACAGAAAGTTCATTCGTAAGTTGTGACTATGAAAAAATTGCCAAACCATTAATGACTTTTAACAAAGAAAAAGGGTTCAAATGGAATGTACAAGTACAACAAGCCTCCGACAGTCTTAAAGAGAAATTGACAGCAGCTCCTGTCCTTGCATTACCGGATTTTACACAACAGTTCGTCATCGAGTGTGACGCTTTTGGTCAAGGCGTAGGTGCTATTCTAACTCAGTATGGCAGACCTGTAGCTTATTTTAGTAAAGCTCTTAGTGAGAGGAATTTAGCCAGATCAACCTATGATAGGGAGTTGATGGCAGTAGTTTTGGCTATACAGCATTGGTGACCCTATTTGTTGGGGAGGAAATTCATTGTTAGCACTGATCACAAGAGTCTGATGCAATTATTACAACAACGAATTTCTACCATAGATCATCAAAATTGGATAGCCAAATTGTTAGGTTACCAATTCGAGATTCTATATAAAGCATGTTCAGAGAACAAGGGGGTGGATGCTTTGTCTCAACTTATTGATGAGGGTGAATTCACTTCGATCACATCTTATCCATCTTGGATGGAGTTAGAGAAGGTGGTGGAAGAAGTTCATCAAGATGAATTTTTGAAGAAAATCATTGCTGAGTTAGAGTAAAAATCGAGCCTAAGAGCTGGTTATTCCTATGTTAAAGGAGTTTTGTACTATGGAAGTCGGTTGGTGCTATCTAACAAATCAATTCTAATTCCTAAGCTTTTGATGGAGTTTCATGCGACACCTTTAGGTGGTCATTTGGTTTTTACAAGACATACATGAGATTGGCAGCCAATTTACATTGGGTGGATATGAAGCAATGTTATCAATGGCGGATGACGGCTCATGGTGGAAACTCAAAAAACTGTCATAAAGTTATGGCGGCTACCATGGCGGGTTATGGCGGATGTAATAAAATATATAAAAAATAACTATAGGTCACAGAAAATAATAGAAAATAATTAATTCAAAATATATGTAACATAACCTTCAATCTAAAGTATAATTAAATATAAAATATGTAATTATCAAATGTCAAGTTAACAATAAAAATAAAGATTATCAATTTAGTCTTCTTCAACTCCAACATAATCATCCTCTTTCTCATCCACCAAGGCATATCCCTCTTCCTCTTCTCCTTCAGATTGTGGAAGATTAAATTCTAATTCATCTTCTGTTTCTTCTGATATTTCTTCAGACATGTTCAACAACAAAAGGAAAAGAGAATGACGCCTAGTATATGTTGTAGGCTCTCCAATTCCAGAAGCTTCATAAACAGTTGCCCAATTTAAAGTGTTATCACCATAAAAAACTAAGTCATTTTCAGCATCCTCATCTAGAGCATCATCATCTATTTCTCCAACCAACCACTCATTACACTCATCAATATCATTGAGTGTAATTGGATCAATTACATCTTTAAGATTGTAACGTTCTTTGAGTTGTTGGTTGTATTTCACATAAACCAAGTCATGTAATTTTTTGTGATCAAGCTTATTTCTCTTCTTTGAATGAATCTGCAACGTGAGTTTAATTATAAAAATATTAATTAGTTTCTCTCTAATTTCTAAAAGAAACTAGTAGGCTCGAGAGATAAAAAATTACTTGCTCAAAAACACTCCAGTTGCGTTCACATCCGGATGCACTACTGTCAAGTTCAAAATTTTGATAGCTAGTTGCTGCAAATGTGGAGCTGAATGTCCATACATTCTCCACCATTGAGCTATAAAATGAAAGATAAATTATAACTCTAAAGATGAAGTATAATCTTAAAATTAAAATATTGAAGAATTTGATGAATTACTAGGAGCAATGCTTTTTCTTTGTGATTTTGCAAAGTCGGACCCAAAGAGACCACCACCGCTCTTGTAAATTGGTAATTCAAGTAGTATGCTTTTTGCACATCCCGACTTGGCACCAACCTCTTGATACAATCATACAATCCATTTGTAACTTCCAAATTAAATTCAATTTGAGGGTTGTTATAGTAAAATTCCGGGTTTAAAATGTGACCAGCTGCATGCAATGGACGGTGAAGCTGACAAGTCCATCTATTATCAATGATTGCAAACACATCTTTGTATTTACTTTCATTATTTTTGAATGACTTTATGATAGCTTCTTTACTTTTCTCCATTGCTTCATAAATATACCCCATGGCTGGTCTTCTTTCTCCATCAACCAAACGTAACACCCGGACAAGAGGAGCCATGATTTTCAAAGTATACACCACATTATTCCAAAATACAGGATTTAATAGAATTTTTGTTGTTTGCTTCCTTTTAGCTTCCTTTGATAACTTGTTTTTACACCATTCCTCAGAAGTAAACATCTTTCTAAGATTTGCTTTTTCTTGGTGAAACCTTTCTAATGATATAAAAGATGTTGCAAATCGAGTAACTGCATGTCTTACCAATTTCCTATTGTTTGTAAAATTTCTCAACAAACTCAAGGTACTTGAATGACTGTAGATAAAACCAACAACTGATATTCCCCTTTGAATTATCTTCTTTATCAAAGGAAGCTTTCCAATATCTTCAAGCATAAGATTTATGCAATGAGCTACACAAGGAGTTCAATAAAGATGTGGTCTTTTCGCTTCTAACATCTTACCAGCCAAGACATAATTGCTTCCATTATCCGTTATCACTTGCACAACTTTATCTTCTCCAATCTCTTCCACAAGAGCATCAAGCATCTCAAATAATTTTTCATCGGTCTTCACAAAATTAGATCCATCAATAGACCTCACAAACATAGTACCAGCAAGAGAGTTAACCAAAAAATTAATCAAGCATCTTTGCTTTCGATCGGTCCATGCATCTGACATTATGGAACAGCCATGTTTGCTCCATTGCTCTTTATGATCTTTCATGAGAGAATCGGTATATTCTAGCTCTTTCTTTAGAAGTGAAACTCGAATATCATGATAACTTGGAGTTGGTAAATTTGGACCGAAAGCACCAATAGCTGTAAGCATTTCTTGAAAGCTCTTCATTTTAATGAGGTTAAAGGAAAGGCCAGCTTGATACCAAAATCGAGCTATGTATTGATGGACCCTTGCTTTGCCTTCTTTGTCACAAACTTCTCTTATATTTGCTTGTCTCGATTTTAATTTTTTCCTTTTCTCAATTACATTTTCTGGCTTTCTACAAAACAAATCCATTGGCCCTTTCTGATTACCTATGGCAATAGTATGTGTTTGGGTATCCTCTTCATCCTCACTTTCATCATAGCTTACACTTTCAAAGCTTTTCACATTTGGCATTTCAAAGTTGTTTTGACTCTTTTTATCCTTTTGATATGCCTCAATCTCTTTTCTAACTTCTTCAGGACACTTGGGACAACCTTTTACATTACCTTTCTTTCCAATCAAATGTTTTACTCTAGTAATTCCAGCACTCATAACTTTTTCACAAAAGTTACATACAATGTTGTTTGTATCACCCTCTTTCAACGAATGAGCGTATTTCCATCTCGGGTCGGATCGATTAAAAGCTCTTGATGATGAAGATTCTTGTTGAGCCATGTTAAGAGAAGCTGAAATAAAGATAATGAGTTTTTTTGAGGATAAACTCAAAAAAAACAGAAAGGTGGATGAAGAAAAAATTGAACCATGGAAAGAGAAAAACAGAAATGAAGAAATAAAAAAAAGATTGCTACCGGAAAAAAGGGATCGCCGCAGATGGAGGTTCAGGTCGCCTGAGATGGAGGAGATGTCGCCGGAGATGGAGAACAGAGTTGTAGCCACCAGCAGAACATTAACAAGTCAAAGAAAACGGCAATGGAAGATGAGTGCGACGTCGGAGAACAAAGAGACGAATAAAGATGAGAGGGATTGGAGAGTCTAGACGAATTGAGATGAGATCAGAGACGAGAGATGAGATCGGAGACGAGAGGGATTAGAAGAGAGAGAGAGAGATCTGAGATGGGGTCGGCTTTGAGTGTCGAAGAAGAGGGGTACTAACCTTATTTCTGCGTGGGTCACCGTCGGGTCGGGTCGGGTTTGGGCCCAAACCATCGAATCTGCCATTTTTGAAGGATTTCCGCCATGGCTGCCGTTACCGCCATGCGGGTAATGGCTGCCATGGCACCGCCATCTGAATTTGCCATCTAACGGAGGCGGTTTAACGGCTGTTTTCAGAACTACGATGGCGGTTCGCCATGGCCGCCATTTGATATCACTGGTATGAAGAAAATGATTCAAGACTTTGTTGCAGTCTTGTGATGTCTGTCAAAGACAAAATATATGGCTACTTCTCCTAGCAGTTTGTTGTAGCCTTTGAGAATTCCAGATATGATTTGGGAGGAAGTTTCAATGTACTTTATCACATGCTTGCCTAAATCAACAGGGTATGAAGCTATTTTTTGGGTGGTAGATTGATTATCAAAATATGGACATTTCATTCCTCTAAAATGTCCATACACTATTTGTATTTTAGCAGAAGTGTTTGCAAAGGAAATGGTGTGGCTACATGGCATCCTGAAGGCAACTATTAGCGATAGGGAACCCATATTCATTAACAATTTCTTGAGAGAACTCTTCAAAATACTGG